TAATGTTTATATGAAGATGTGACATCCTTGTTGTTGTTTTACATTTATTTATTTATTAAAAATATTCGTGAAAATCGTGGGATTTTAGATGAGTGTTACATCTAAGGATGGCCATAACCGAGAATGAAGAAAAATAAAACATGGAAGAAATCACAGTACTTGAGTTTGAGTAAAAGAAGGAGAAAGGCACGATCAAGCATGAGAGACGAATCTAAGGGAAGCTTTTATTGGGAAGAAGTTAGGGAATTTGAGAAGAAAGGGAAAAGGAACAATGTCTCTCACCGGTTAAGTAATAATGGAACTTTCAAGTCATATAGGTCATCATTGGCCTAACATTGACGCACGTCTACAGCAAGAGAGAGAAAAACATTTGCGGCTGGAATACAAAAAATCACAATACCTAAATGATGTGAAGTTGATGTCCTAAGTGATGTTAATAATCTATAGCCCACAACAATCGTGTCTTCTTGATACAAGATACAATGTGACATGATATTAAATGTTGCATGTGCCCCAAGTAACGCTTGAGAGACTCACCTCAAGTAATGCTTGAGGGTCTCGCCTGTAGCGATTCTCGAAGTCATTTCAGTGAAATTGTCGCCCATTCTAAGTTAATCACTTCGTTCTTCCAGGTCTCGTGCTTGAGAGACTGTGGACTAGAATAATTTTATTAGGCCCAAAAGGAAGAAACCCAGGACAAATGACCCAAACTAGTTACATCAACACTTTGCAGATGTGCATCGGATCGCCTAATTAGCCTAGATCACCCTGTTTTATTCATGACATGTTCATGGTTTCCCCACTATTTAAGGAATAAATAATCTCTCATTGTTTTCACGTCTTCACTAGAAAACTAAGAGAAAACCATTTCTCTCTTTCTGATCTGGCCCAAATGATTCTCATAAATACTCCAACCTCAAAATTTAGAGATTCATTCACTAATTCGAAAATATCCTAACATACATCCACAAAATATCTTACTATATGCACGTAAAGTAACTCTCCTTAACTTCTATTGTACATTTTATAAGTACACAAACATTTTCATAACAATTTTTTTTGAAATTTCTTATTAAACTATCGAGAAAATGTACAGTATATAGAAATGAATATAAAAATTACAACAAAATTAAGAAAAATTCTTTTTGTCCACTCATTTGGTTTCTCCAGCGTATTTTAAAAAGTTTATCTTTTTTTCTTCAAAAGAAATATATGAGAATCTCTTATGCACCCTATACAGCTGAAAAAGATCACGAAATTTTAAAAATATTCTCCAATTTTTATAAATGTATTTTCGAACGCTTCTCATACATATATTTTATTCGTTTTTGAATTACGGAGTTTTACAATAAAATTTAATTCAAAAATGTATTTCCAAAATATCTTCGAAAATACATTTCCAAAACTTACTAAAATGATTTAGACACGTACAATCGTCACGTCAAATAAGCTTTTGGACACTAGTACAGTCACTAAATGATTTAGTACGTTAGACTTGTATAGTGCAAATAAAGTGGAAAAAAGAATTGAACTTAATAATTTAAATTTACCACATGTATTATGATGATTTAGACATTTCGAAAATGTATTTTCGAAGATTTTTTGAAAATGTATTTCCCAAATCAATTTAGTTGTAAAAATGATAAGTAATGCAAAAACAAATGAATTACTCTCTCCATTCTCTTTTATAAGAAAATTTTGACTTTTTAAATTCATTAAATAAATGATGTATTTAGACTATATATTAGTTAGATACATCAATTATTTAATGAATCTAAAAATTTAAAATTTTCTTATAAATAGGAATGGAGGGAGTATATATGTATGAGATACTTTCAGAAATGCATTTCAGAAATATGAGAATATTTTCAAAATTTCACGATGTCGTTACAAATACACGAAATACATTAAGAAATTTCCAAAAATAAATATAAAAAACCCAAATTTTAAAGTTATTGTCATGGCAAAAGAATCACATGGAATTAATCTCAAGTTTAAGATGAACAATTTCTAATAGAGAATGATTGAATCTTCTCAATGATTTTCATTTACTCAAGGTGTTTACAATTTATTTTTCAAATATAGAATTGTTTCTAATTAGTAAGTCTAATGAAATTGCAAGAACTTGAAAGTGCTTTAAATTAAATAAAAACATCATGATTCGAATTATGGCTCACTGGAATCAATCTTTTAGGAAATTAAAAACAAGATCTTTTACACCATGATTAGAATCATCCAAATATCCAAAAACTCAAAATTTGAAGGCATGTTTTAGTAACAATTTACATAATCTTGCCTTGGTGTGGTTGACTTGATTAAATAACTTAAGATGAGAAGCTTAATCCTAAAGCATGATGCATCATCAATTTAAGAAACAGATTAAGATGATTAGGGTGGATAAATAAACATCCTCAATTACAGTTCTTCTTAAGCCACTTGAAATGAAACTCTACCTGCCATCTTTTCTTCAACATAGGGTACCTAAACTTTTTCATTTTCATGATTGAATTTGCGATCCTGTAATATCTTGTCTAGCTACTCAATTATTGTAACACTCTTGTGTTATTTTCATAGATTTATACAGTGGAACAAAAATATCAAAGTGGTGAGTTAAGTGGTAAATTTGAAGCTTATAGAAGAAGCTATTTATTAGAAACACAAAATTGAACATTATTTGTATATTTCCAGACTACATAGTCTGTTTTCTTTCTTTTTATTTATCCACGTTCGCAATCAAATGTCTCATTTATGTTACATTGCATACAAAGAATGTCAAACCGATGATAAACCAAATGCTACATTTGGCCTATACGAGACTCCGATATCAATTTATATGGAATAAATTTTGGAGTTCTCGTGTTTCAGAGATCTCTGGTTACCTCACCAAAGCATTGTACCGGCATAAATATTGGACTGTGCAGCCCAGATGAATAAACTATATATCTAATAAAGGAGGTGGAGACAAAAATAAATTTTTACATCAAATTACTATACGAAATGTGAAGGCAAAAAGAACCTTTGCCTCTTACTTCTAGTAGGACAATTAGATACCATTGATGATGAAGCAATTTTGGTCACTGCTGATTTAAGGGACTGTTTGAGAGTGTTAACGCAAACATTCTCTTCACTGTCCTTAGAACATAGCACCAATATGCTTTTGATTCTGCCACCAACACTTGCTATGTCTGCTTTAACTGTTGTAAGTCTTAACCCTCTGAGGACTTGGATTAGTTCAGAGAACAGTTCAGGTCGATCGTCGCAGCAAACAGAAGCCTTGATGATGATATTTTTCTTGAATTTGTCCACTTTGTTAGTGCTGGTTTCGTCTTCAATAACATGGTTGTAGTCTATTGATACTTCATCGATTTCAGTTGGAACTGTGATGACTCTGCTAACATCCATTGCTTTTCTCTTTAGGTCTTTGACATGATTTATTACACTCCCTAGTAAAGCTGCTTTGTCCATCTGCAAGTGAACAAATGTTAATGTTATGCAAAGTAATCAACCGCGGTTGCGTTGCAGTTGTGCCAGAATCCTTATATTCGTATCTAAGAAGCACTTACATAGATACTAAACACGACACTGATACATATATATTAGTAATGTGATTAACGTATGTCTGTGTCACATATCAATACACTTTCAATCTGAAGTGTCACTGCTACATAGATGGAGTCATTTGAAAATCTTGAACATGGGCTCAGAGAACATTTTCTAAAAACTTGATGCTATATTTGATGTAAGTTTCTTCCTAAATTCTCTCTTCAATAAGAGAGGAAGTGAAAAATTAATTACTCCTGACTTTTATAAACGCATGTTTGGATTGACGGTAAAATTGACAGAATTACAATTTTTTGGTAAAATCTATGTGCCTAGAGTCTTGCAAACTCAAACTGCCATCGTGATTTTGTCGAACTCACATCAAAACTAAATACACCCTAAGAAATTGGTCAAAATTGAAATTACTATTGGTTTGAAAATGTAATAAAATTTATATAGAAATAGAAGGCAAACGGACAACGACATACGAATCTGTAGCACAATATAATTCTATGAATCTGAGAGTTGAATGCAACAACATCATATCACATAGCTTTTCCCTAAGTGGTTAGTTCCATTTTCTTGCATGAAAAATAGAACAAAATCTAACCTTAAAATGGCAAATAAACTAAAATTGGTTTACCTTATCGGACATAGGAATAAGTTTTCTGAGATTAGCAAGCTGAGTATTGATTCTATCTCTGCGTCTTTTCTCTGCTTGGCTATGACTCTTGGAAGCACTTACTGCTCTATCTCCTAAACTCCCTTCAATAGGTAAAGACCATGACTGAAACTCACTATATTGAAAAGAAGAAGAAGAATCAGAGATATTTTGAGGTAGAATTTGTGCAGCAAAGTGTGAATGATCACTGTATTGAGACCAAGAATTTGAGTTCAAGTTCTGCCACTCAGAAGAATCATTGTGATTTTCCATATTCATCAGAATGGAAACAATTAGTATTATTGTAAAGTTTGTTTGTTGAATGAATGCTTATCTTTAAGAGGTTTTTATTTTCTAGCAGAAACTACTGTTGGTTGTACTATGCAATGAGATAATAATGAGTGACCTTGTTCTTCTTATCTTGATGGTGATTGGTGTCATAACCAATTACTTTTGATTAGTCAAAATGAAAATCGATTTTGGCCTTATCTTCGTGTCACATCATGGACACATTTATTAGTATTTTCTTTCTAATAATAAATTTAACTAACTTAATTGGAGTTTTTTGTAATTGTAAGGAGAGGAAATAAAGAGCAAAAGAACAAGAATGAGGTGGCTTGTCCTCTCATAATAGTGTACGGAATGAATTATCTTCTTGTGGTTCAACTCAATCTTCATTGTTTTGTTGGTTTAATCTTTAATTTGATTTTTTCTCACATGTCATGAATGGTTGGCAAACTATAATGAAATATCAAAGTGGTGAGTTAAGTGGTAAATTTGAAGCTTATAGAAGAAGCTATTTATTAGAAACACAAAATTGAACATTATTTGTATATTTCCAGACTACATAGTCTGTTTTCTTTCTTTTTATTTGTCCACATTCGCAATCACATGTCTCATTTATGTTACATTGCATACAAAGAATGTCAAACTGATGATAAACCAAATGCTACATTTGGCCTATATGAGACTCCGATATCAATTTATACGAAATAAATTTTGGAGTTCTCGTGTTTCAGAGATCTCTGGTTACCTCACCAAAGCATTGTACCGGCATAAATATTGGACTGTGCAGCCCAGTGAATTTTGGCCGAGATTAAAGTAAGACCTTTAGTTCCACCATTTTGGGAATCATGATCATATCCTGCTTCATTTGTAACCCTTGTATGAAACACAACACCCGTAAAGATTTCTAGATCTTCTTACCATTCTTGAGATTGCGTACAGCCATAACAAGTTGTTGTCTTTCTCCCTCTACCTCTGCAAATTTCAGACTAATCTCTGAATATCTTTCTTCCATTTCTTTCAGTTCTGTTTCCATAGTCGTGTTCTTTCCCTTTAGAACTTCCACTTCTTTCAATAATTCCTTTGAAAGGCGTTCAGCCTCACTGTCAGTGATAGGAGATAAAAAATAATACAAGTTAGTTCAGACTTAATTATGAATATGATATTGAGGCGCCAAATGTTTTGTTTAAGGAATGGATTGTAATGCAAGGTAACTAGAAGTTCAGATGGAAAGAAATGAATCTGATTTTACCTTTCTTCGGACTTGCTAATAGAAGTGTTTGCAGCATCATTTCCCTATTCATGTTACAAATATAATCAGTATAACCTATTTTGGGACATAAATATCAAATCATTTGTGCAAAGTAACACTAAAGTTAAAGATTGATCAAATAATTTCTTTTGGCCCATTTTATGTTTGAGACCTGCTTATTGACCTTGTCATATATTCTCATCACCCTCACTCAGTAAAGTTGAATTTATTAAGAATCATACTGTGAGATGTACTACAAAGATGTGCTGTTCAAATATTTTCTCTCCAGTATAAAAAACTATTTTTCGGGGACACTTGTTTGAACTTTTCCACACGTGTCATACAAGTGTCGGACACAACGACAAGCCTAATCCTAGAAGCTTCCGTGTTTCGTATCATATCATTTTGGAAACTGAACTCCTTGGATTCTAACATTATTGTTAATTTCCTTTCTATTCATGACTTAGGGACACTACATAATAAACTAATCAGAGGGATGCTACCATTTAACCTGCATTACAGGTGACGGTAATAAGCTATGAAGCACAGACACCCCGAACACGACCCCAACACTGACACGCCTTCTTTTAGAGGTGTCGGTGCTACATAGGTAATAAGTGTGTGCTTTATATTATCTGATAAGAAGTATGCCTCTGGAGAAATTACCTTATGCATTTCTGATTTTGACTTCTTAACATTACCCTTAGCAGCTTCATTGTCTCTTGAGGTCAAATTCATATGCATAGCTGCACCTCGTCCTTTGTTATTCTTGAGCTTCTTTTCCATAGCACTTAGTTCTGCTTCTTTCTTCTTAAGCTCTCCTTCTAATTGAGATATATGTTTCTTCATATTTTCTTTGTCCACTTGTTCTTTCTGCAAGCTTTGTTTTATTTCATTGTGCTGGATTTCAAGCATTTGAATTTTCTTTGAAAACGTAGCATCCTTTTCATCCCTGAGCCTTTGTGCATCCTCGAGTTCTTTAGTCTTCACTTCTAGCTCTCGTGACATCTGTTCTATTGTTTTTTCTTTAGAATTTATTTGTTTCAATAGCTCTTCCACTTTCGATTCATGTTGATCTGTAATAAGCCTGAGCTCTTGATTACATTTCTGGAGCGTTTCTTCCATAAGCTTGTTGTGGTTCCGCAATCGATCAGCTTCTGCAATTTCTTTCGCGATCATCTTTTCGTTCTCTTCAACTTTGCACGCCATTTCAACAGAAAGAGATTTATATTCTTCCTGAAGACGCTCAGATGCGATAGCATTATTGTGTCTCGTCTTTCTCAGTGACTCTTCTGCTTGAATGGCCCGTTCTTCCTGCACGATTTTCGCACTTTGCATGGCATGGAGATCTTCTTTGTATTTATCTGCCTGTATTCTCAGTTCTTTCTCCGAAGACTTAACTTCATTTTCAAGTTCCTTGATGGAGACCAAAGAAGATGAAAATTCATCTTCCCGCATCTCTATGTTTTCTTCAAGTCTCTTTACTTGGGATTCAAGTTGTTGTATCGTAACTAAAGAAGCCGAGTGCTCATTTTGTAACATGACATGCTGTGCTTCCTCTTGCTTTAATTTCGTTGAGATATCCTCATTTTCATTCTCAAGAATATCATACTCCAATGTGAGCTCTTTTAAAAGAGTACTTAGCTCCTCGCGTTGCTTAACGCAACTCTCTATTTCACTATTCTGTTCTGCAATTTTCTGCCGCAGAACATCTAATTCTGTGTCTATATCACGCTCTTTAGCAATCTTTTGAGATTTCATTTTGGAAGATAGATCCAATATTTCCTTGTTCTTTTGTTCTAGCATTTCTTCAAGGTCTGTCACAGCCAAAAGAAGTTCAGAATTTGAGTTCTGTGTTTTCAGAAGTTGCAACTGAAGATTTCCACTTGTTTCTTTTTCATAAACAAGCTCTTCCTTTAATGCCTCTAACTGAATTCTAGTATTTTCAACATCCGACTTCAAGGTTTTAGATGTTTTGGTCTCGTTATTAACACTACTGAAATTCTGCTGGGACCTGAGTTGCTCATATTTAGTTTTGAGAGAATCTCTCTCGTCTCTGAGACCGTTGATTTGTCTCGATAAATTCTGTCCCCGACTGCTTTCTTTTTCTACCTGCTTCCGAAGTGCTTGTAACTCCAGTTCCGATAATTCTGCCTGCCTCTTCAGAGAAGCGATTTCACTTTTGAGATTTTCAGTGGCATTGCCGGAAGGCTCTTGTAATCTTTCTCTCGGAATATTCTCTTCCGCGCTGTTTGTCCAGTCACCTAAACTTCCGTCTGATGCTGAACCAATCGACCATCCTGTATTCGACCGCTTATGCACTTGATTTTGTGTTGCGTTGGTTTCAACCGGTCCTCTTGGTGGCATTGAGTTCTGCCGGAAGCTATGAGGGTCATCCCATGAAGCTACCCTAGGACTGACGCCATTCGATGCATTCTGTTCAGAATACTCAGATCTACTCTTGGCCAAGTTCTCATTCTATAAGATAACCAAAAAAAAAACCAATGTAAGTATGATTTTATAAAGTACTTTTTTTTTCCCACAACCTATCCTCATAACAAGTTTAGAAAAGTTGTAACTGCTTTAACTGTTAAGTGCTTATGTCAGTAGATAAATTCAAATAAGTCAATCCAAACAGACCATAAATATAATTACTAGGATATATAACTATCTTACGAGACCATACTTCATCAAGATTATAACTTTCATCAGTACTGCCATAGCTCAGTTGATGTCTCAAGCTTCCGTCATTTTGAAGTCCAACGGCTCCATTATCTTCCCCATTTCTGCAAATAAGTTTGATTTTTAGTTCATGTAGAATGGAAGTCAATGGGGAAACATCGCAATAGTGAAATTAACAGTATGTCATGGTTCATTTTCACCTTTCAGCAGCATATCCTTCAACATTCTGAATAGTTACCTGTTTCAACAACTCTTATGTGAGAAGTTATGAACGTAATAAAAAATCACTTTTGATATAGTATAGGTGTAAAACTTTTTATATTATCAATCAGCCAAAAATCACTTTTTTGTATGCAGAGCCGTCTCATATTTTTGAAAGTTCTCTGTAAATTAATCACAGTTTAACTATGACAAAACAAATAAAGACTATTCAACTACGGACTACGACATTTTTTATGAAGTACTATTTAGCCACCTGTGTGGTAGTCCACCTAACCCGCCCTCAAAGACGGCCCTGTATGATGATGACTTTAAAGATGAATAGTGAATGATCTATTGTGTAAAAGAGATAGAGGGTACTAACATGTAACACTACGCCTGAATTGGCAAACTTCAAAGGTAAAGAAACTGTAACCGGATCAGTTTCTGCTAAAAAATCAGCAAAATCAACCGAAGCTTCTCCCAAATAGCCCGATTTCGAAGAACCCTAGAAAGATCCATAAAAAAACTTAGACTTCCCAACAAACAATCCTTTAAAACAAATCGCAGATACAAATTCTTACAGTTGAAACAATGAAATGGTAGATTTTCTCATGGAGAATTCCCGATTTTGAATCCCTAACAAGTTTAACAGGTTCAAAAATTGGATTCTCCCATAAACAAGTCCCATCTTGCACAGCAGTTTTCTCTAATTTCACCGTTGTTTTCCCAATATCATCTGGCACCAAAGATACCATCAGTGCAGACTTTTTCATCTTCGGAACCTAATCAAAATCAGATTCATTAAAAAAAACACAAGATCAGACACTGTCCGCAGAATCTATACCAACATTATAAAAAACAAACATTTGTAAATTTCAAACATCCTAGGAAACATGTTTTTTTCTCCAGAAATTTGTAAATTTCAAACATCCTAGGAAACATGTTTTTTTTTCAGAAAACTATATTTTTTTTGTTTACTCACCTGGGTTGCTTGAAAATCCAATTTGAACACAGCTTTGATCTTGTTTTTCTTGCTCCATGATTTGAACATTTTTGCTGACAGATAAATATGGTGGTTACTGGTTGTAGTGATGTGGATGCAAAAGAAGTATCTTATAAGGTAAACATTATTGGTGAACAAAGATGGGAAATGCAATGTTGTGATTTGGGAAAATCTGAAATTTATTTTTGTGATAAAGTTAATGAATTGAATTGAAGAATGAGGTGTTACGGTTTTGTGAATGTTTAGAGTCTTGTGAAGTCAATCCTGATTTGTTGGTTGATTGAGATGCTGAACTTGTATGATTAGCAAAGTAATAAATAAAATATTAAAAAAATTTGATACTATATATTAATTTTGTGAGAACTAAGAAGAAGGTTCTCATCAATGGCTTTACTTTTTGCTTTTTAGCAAGGACAAGGAAATGGATTCCCTACCGTATTTAAGAATTGGATACATTGGTAACCATTGGATTTAGAACCAAACATTCACCTAGGCAACCATGGGTTAAAAAAAATGCAGATTTTGAGTTTATTAGAGAATAAAATTTTAGATTTGAATCATTCTATATTTTTTTGGTATGTAATTTGATTTCATTATATTTTGATCAAGTAGTTATCAAAAGTGTCAATTAGACCTATAGATAGAAGAAAAAACTCAAAATGGAAACATTAGCCTAACAAAGTAATGTGTTATGAAGATAATGCCAAAATCAGATTTGTAGGTTAAATAAGGCAAAATACCATATGACAATGCTTAGCACAATAAAGTAATTTATTTTTAACATAATAAAAATTAAACAGAGATGGAAGCAGAAAACGAGCTGTTCTACCATTTTTGGTTCGTTTGTTGTGTTATTAAATTATTTTTAAAATGTTATATATTTTTTGTTTTAAATTTTATATAAAGAATTTTTTAATAAAAAATTGACTTAAATAATTTTTCATAAATATTGACTTAAATAATTTTTCATAAAATATTATTTTAAATATTTTATCTTTTATTATAATTTTTTTAAATCAAAATTTTAAAAATTCTATAAATTTGACAATATCATAAAATTTTTTTATAAAAATCATTTATACAATATATTTTTTAAATTTATATTCTTGAAATATTATGTAATTATTTAATATTTTTAATCTTCAATAATATATATTTATATCATTAGATGTCAAAATTTATCTTTTAATTTTAATAAATAAATTTAAAAACTTTTAATATTTTAAGAAAAATTATGAAAATTATTATTGAAGATCTAAAAAAAAATTGATTTTTAAAGTTAAAACAAATTGCCCAAATTTTTAAATGATAAAATCATTTCTCTAAAAAAGTACACTTATCATCCTACATTATTATATCACACTCTCTAGTGTCTAGTGTTAAGAAGTCAAAAATAAGAAATATTACAAATGATATGAAATGATATTGACTGTAGAACATGTTTTTTAATATATTTTTTTGGTGATATAAAATTCAAAGTAAAAATTGTTACCGTTACTTATTAATGAAACCAAGATCTATCTTGAAACGAGGGGTTCAGAGTAGGTTGATATGAATATGATAACTCATTAATAGCAGTAAAATCCAACAAGTTTAGAATAGATGTTAAAATCAGTAGCTAGATTGTAACTTTTTCAAGTTCTAGCATTTAACATGAGTAGGAGAATGACATTTCATTTGACTAATTTTACCAATGAAATTGAATGTGGTAAGTAAAAGGTAAAGAAGAGCAATGTCCATGTGCTTCTGGGCTAACTCTGATAAGCAACAACTCACCAAAACATAAATGCTACACCTTTCTGCTGCAAAGGACATGACCAACAAAGTTTAATAAAAAATGAGTTGTAAATGTAATCTGTATATTTCTTCAATTGTCAATAAGCAAATTAAAAATAATATATATAATTCTTACAAAAAAATAATGAAATTAAAATACAACAATAATCAACAAACTTCATAAAACTTCATTCAGCACATGCCACTGTCGGCGTCCAAACAGATCCTTCTCATATAGAAATTTATGTATATAATATAAAATATAATACTTTATATGAAACCAATAGATATCAATCAAGTCAACACTCATCATCAACTATAAAGTAGTGGAAGTTGAACCCTTAAAAAGAATTATTTTCACACAAGATTAAATCTTTTTACTCCTCTAATTATACATGTTTTCATTATTCATACTTTTAAGAAAATAATAAATTTTGATTTTTAAAATGTTTTATTGTTAATTTTAGTTTATGTTTTTTTACTTTATTCATATGTTCTAAATAATTTTTTCTTTTTTTCATAAAACCTTAAAATATTATTTATTTTATTTTAATGGTTTCATTTTTAATTTATTATAAATAAATTAAATAAAAAATTATAATATTTTAAAATTCTATCATTAACATGTAATGAAAAATGACTTGAAACAATTTATGTTAGGTTTTATAAAAAAAAATAAATAGAGTTTGAAATTGATAATAGAGAACTTACATAGCCAAAGTTTAAAAAGACCAAAAATAGATTTAGTATATTCAACTAAAAACATATTTAAGTCATAAATATATTATTTTATTTAACTTTGATGTACTTTTAATTAATAAATTGTAATAAATTATAAATTGTTGTAAAAAATTGATAGATTAATGTAAAGTTTAAACACATTAAAATTTGGACTTCAAGCAACAAATAATATAATAAACGACAAAATTAAATAAAAAAAATTATTTTATTCGATTAATATCTAAAGGAGAAACAATTCTTCAATTTATTATTAAAAAGTTGATATAACAAATTACAATATTTGCTTAAAAATAATAATTTTTTTAGTTTTCAAATTAACCCATATTTTTTCTCAAATGTTTATCAATATCTCAAAGCCTTAATATAAGAATCATACAAATTTAAAAAATAATTGTCAAACCTCAAGAATAAAATTTTAGAAATTTATGCATTTTGCTTATTACTAAGATTGCTACACCACCACGTGTCAACAACAAATGAGAGAGGAGTATATTTACAATTTTCACAATTTTAACGAATCTAAGATATGATTCATTAACGAACAAATATGTAAACAAGTCAGAGATTTGTCTAGATTGCCACTACCATCCGACCTCTGACCCTCTATCATCGAACGGTCTTCGTCTCCACATTGATGTCGCCCACCAACAATCATCTTCTTCGTGTCGCGACCATCTCATCTAAAAAATTGGCATTATCAACAACATGTTACAACAATTCCCCAATCATGTCTTTCAGTCACATGGCTTCATTAACCTCTTCAACAAGAGAAACATATTACATATGAGAAGTAGAAACACAACCATTAATTATTGATTGACTTTTTAACTTATAGTTATCCCAAACAACTTAAACATAAATCTAATAAGGATTTTCTAGTGTCCATGTTACCTACATATTCTGAATCTACAAAATTCTCCAAAGTGTCTTCCTCTTGAGTTGATTATGTGTACTTTAAACCACCTTTAAGATAATCATTCAAATATCTCAACACTCACTTCAAATCTTCCCAATGAAACTGACCAAGATTCTCCATAAAACTACTTACTATGCTTATTGCATATGCCATGTTTAGTATACTACAAACCATACCATACATAATACATCCAACCCCACTTGCATAAAGAGTACTCTCCATTATCTTCATATCTTTAAGTCTTATAATATATTTTTTATTCTTTTTAAAGATCCACTTGTATCCAACCATCGTTTATTTCTTAGGTATTCTCCCAAGCTCCATAGTATAGTTCTTCATTTGTGAGTTCATCTCATTATTTACCGCTATCAATCATCTTTGACTATCTTTGATTTTTACTTATTCTTTGATGTTCTTTAATTTTGAATCTTGAAACCCTTCAACCATATTTAAAATACATAAAATAATATTAGTATAATCGTACCTTTAAGGTGGTAGAATCTCCCCTTCTAACTCTATCACAAGTTAACTAATAATTAAGAGACATTGTATGTTTATCTTTAATAGTACTAGAAAGAGGAGTCTCAAATACCTCATTGTCTCTAATATCACTAGTCAGAACATCCACTTCAAATTGAGTCTCTTTAACTATAGTTTCAAATTCTTTGACATACATGTCTTTGAACTTCATCCATATACGAGTCTCATCAAAAGAAACATTTATGCTTATAATAAATTTTGAACCTCCAAGATTCATCTTCAACATTTTTAACCCTCCCCCCTTCAAGATTGTTGGACTTGAGACTTCACACAAGAGGGCGGTGAATTGTGTGCTTCAGTAAAAAGTGATTTTGAAAAACTTTGTGGAGTAAAATCAAAATTTAAAAACATTTTATATTTAACAACGGAAAAATTAAATTGCAGAAAATAAATAGCATAAAAGTAAAGAGTTAAGGGAAAATAAGAACACCAAGAACTATAGAGATTTGGTAAAAAATTAAAGGGCCTACTCCTCTCTCCAAGAACTGATCTTGAGAGTTTACAATAAATTTGAGAGCTTTTAATAAAATGTACTCACGAACCCCCTTATACAAGAAAAGATGGTTGACCTCCAACCAAATAATATAAGACTTCGTAATATGGCAATTTGAGTATTCTCTTCCAAACGGTAGATTGAAGCGATTAGTCTTCTATCCACAAACAAAAATCTTGGAACGATTAATCTTCAAGCTTCTAAACCTTACAAGCTTTTATCACGGGCTGAGCTTACGAACCTTAAACCTTGGTTTTACATGGGCTAACCAATAACCTATGAGATTTTAATATCGGGATAATCTAGAACCTTATCCAAGATTTTACCACGGGCTAAGCTTTAACCTAATATTGGTTTTACCACGGACTAACCAAGAACCTGTTAAATTTTACCATGGGTTAAGCTCGAACATAAGCACATATTTGATCACACAAACCCCAAACAAAAGCTTTTAAGGGTTTAACATCTAACTCAAACAAAAATACCTAAATATATATTATGTCCAACCAAGGTGTAAACAGAGGTTCCTTGGTGAACTTTAAAATTTTACCCTTCTAGAATTTGTAACAACCCACAAATATG